CAATTTTTTTCATCTAATGTCATCACTAGTCTCTCTTGAACATGTCAAGGTAATTTAAAGGGGAAAAAACACAGGGTTTAGTGTACCATGGCAGCGATACCTATTTCTGTTACCTGTCAATTGTTTCTGAAGTGTTCAATTGGTCTCACTGTCCAAAGTTTTGGAAGCTGAATGCAGTCTACCAAACTGTGTCTCCATCCAGAGATAACAAAGGTAATGCAGAAACTGCCTTCATAAGATAGCAATGAAAATGCTGTTGGTTTTCCCCTGTTTTTCCTACACTGAGACAGTAGGTTTGATGGTTATTATCTGGAAACCATTCTGTAATGCTTGCATTATCACTGGCTGTTGAAAAGATTGTAGTGTCATCAAATATCCAACTTTGTCACAGACACTTTGGATTTCTAAGGAGCAGTTGAAGAACAGAACCATAGTAAAGTGCTGACATATTTTAATAAGATTGAACAAAAGGAGACAGAATAGTTGAAATGGTTTTATACATCTCAGAATGGAATGAGGTAAAAATGGACTGTACTTATTTGGAGGGAAAGATATATTTCTGTAATATGGAAGTAAATTAAAGTTTTAAAGGAATCACAGCAATGGTAGCTTAAACATAAGAGAAAATACAAAGTTAATGTGTGCTTACAAATAGTAAGTCTTTAGATGGATAGACTTGGCTTTCAGTTTAAAGGGAATCATGCCTGTTTTTATCTCTGGAACATTTACATATCTCTCCAGGGTGGAAGTATTGCTTGCCTGTACATAGAAAGAATCTTTCAAAAGTAATTGTAATGTGACTAAAATTTTTAGTTTATCTATTACAAGGAAGTAAGTTTTAGTATTAAAACTGTAGTAAAAAATAATTCAAAATGAAGTGGTATTTATTTTAAAAGAAGTTTGTAGGCAGAATTGAAAGAATGATAGATTGAAAATTATGAAAAGGGATATATGGTTAGAAATGTGAAATAAATGAGGATGGAAAAGGTAATGTAGGACAGAGAGAGAGATATAATTTTCTTTTCAGGATTCATAATATTTCCAATCCAATGTGTAACTATAATTCATTAAGATTTTGAAATATTACTATTTTATTTTTTCTCTCCTTATAAAATTAAAATGTAAACTTTATTCAGAGAAACAAAATCATAAAAGCTCTCTCTCTGAATTCTTCATTTACCTTATCTCTTGAGACTTATGAAAAAATAATGCAGTCTACATGGTTTCATTTGATTTAGAGAGTTCATGCTACTGAGAATATTTACAATTTCTTCTTGTATGTTATTTTCTACCTTCTTCTCTACTATCCTTATCTTTGGGTAGGAATAACACATTTTCCATACTTACTATTTTTATTTATTGTATTTTTAATATAGCTTATATTACATACAGCTTATATTATGTAATTGCATAATTAAATGTATTGCTTTAGTCTTCCTGTATTTTCTTTATTCTCTGACTATATTTTTGAGCAAAAATGTCAGCATACATCCAGTATACTGCTGTGATTTTGTGTATACAGATATATTCTTTAGGATAAAGAACTAATTTAGCTAGTAGAGAATTACCTCATTAAAAGAATTTAGAAATGTGGGACAGGCTCTGTATCTGTTGTGGCTTAATGTTATTAAAAAGTATTATATATTACATATACTGATTTTATTCACATCTCAATGTAGTAAAATAGTCTTTCACTCTAAATCTTATTTTAATCAATATTTGTGCTCTTAACTATACTGCTATCTATTCTATTTGAATCCTTAACATTGCAGAGTTTGAATGGAACATCTTTCGTGAAAGTTAAATGCATTATGTCGTTCCTCGTGTCTAATCACATCCAGACTAATGGAATATATTTATAAAACATGCAGACTCCATGGAGCATGTCTGTCTTACAGTCTCCTCCAGGTTTTAAGGTTACATCTATTTGACTGTGCTATTGTACATCTCATTTTGTGAAAAGGCCAGAAATGAGGCTTTTCGAATCTGAGACTATATCTGCAGTGAAAGATCTTTGCTTTTTAGGATAAGATGAAACTGAAATTAAGAAAACCCTTGAGGGAAAAACAAGAGTAATTAACTTATATCTCTTTGTCTTATGCTGCTTTAAGAATTTTAAATGGATGCGTTTGCCATGTGAAGTTTTTTTGAACACTGAGTTCCTAAATGCATCTCTTCAATGAGTGACATTACTTACAATGAACAGTTCTGTATCAAAGCATGATAAAAAGATGGTACTGGGAGTTTTTCAGACTTACAGTGCAATACCTGTTTTTTATTTACTTTATAAGTTTATTTATTGAGAGTTTCATTTGTGTCTAAATCTGCATATAATACCCTTGTAGGTACTAGTCTCATACATCAAGGTGAACAATTGATCCAAAAAATGCTAATTCCACAGCAAAGCAATGACTATTCAAATGAAGACTGCCTATTGATATGATGTAAATTTAATAGAATTTCTGTCATTGTTTTATTTCTGCATTAAATGTATTTCTATCAACAAAGATCTATTTAGTAGATTAAAAGCTACAGAGATAGAATTTTCTACCTACTATTTGGGATTTATGGCATGGCTTCTTAATTGGGAGAAAATTGATTAAAATAAGTGCTATTGTATCTAAATTAATTACTCTATTAGTACTTCCTTCTTATCATCGTTAATTAAAAAAAGGTGGTGCATTACCATACCAAAACTTCTACTAATTCATTAATATTTCTATCAATTAATGCAAAAGGGTTATAATCCATTTATCTCAAGAAGTGTTATCAGCTGATCAGGTATCTACAGTGAGAAGACACCTATTATCTTATTTTTTTTCCTCTGGCTTCTATTAGAATTATTCTTCTAATATGTTTGATGAGTAAAAACCTAAAACTGAAAAGTCTTTGTTACTAAGAATGATTTTTTTGCCACTTTGATGTGTAAATACTTTTTCCATAACAAATACTTTGCTTTTAAAAATACAATTTTAAAAAAGTGTAGGTATATGTGACTGATTTCTATGCAAATACTGGTCATTTGATTCTAAAATATTCAAAGGGAACTTCCCTGCTATTCAGTTGTGTCCCACTGACATTGCTAGAAAACCTGCATATTCCAAATTTGGGAATAATGGGATTCCAAACTTGCTTTGAAAATTTATACAGAAGGATTTATGTTAATGCACTATATGTCTCAAAGCTGCTCATTCCTATGGATACTGAAAAAAAATAAACAGTAGAAGGGGGTCATGATAGAGCCTTCCTAATAACAGGCTTGCTATAGTAGGAGTGCCACTTCAGGGCTATAGATATGTAATATAAAACATTTTCAGAACTTTTTAAGTACTTTCAGCCATGTTTTGGTGATGCTAATGATGATTTGTTTTTTTATTTGACAGTTATAGCAATTATAGTGAGACAACATTAATATGAACTGTAACACATCATGGAGAAGTATATCTTTGTATTTGCTTATTTGTATTTCATACAATGGATTCATTACAGTTGCCCAGATAGAAAGATACTTATATGCCATTATTAGTCAAAACTTGACTCAACCTTAGTCAAAACTGATGGCTGCTATGCTTTCATATTACATATCTCATATATAGCACTTAAGTGTGTTTGTCCTGTAAGAAAATGTAATTGCCTAAAAATACATTCTAATTATGCATGTTTCAACCTTCTTGTTTTTGCAACAAAGTTTTGGTACAGTCCTGGCATTTAAAAGTAGATGAAAACATAAGCTACCAGCTATAGTATAAAATTGTTTAAGTATAGAACATAATGGTTATCAGATGAAATTTAGTGTTGTCTTTCGCTCTGTTGATTTATATTGATTATTCTAATTTTGCATTTTGTCAATGTTATCTCGATGTTGACTCTAAAATGCAGACACAATTATAGCTGTTTTTTGTGGTGTATGAACTAATCTAGTATCTGCAGTGTTAATGAATTATGAGCAGTGTTTGTGACTCATTAACAAACTGCATGCTAAATTTATAGATTTTTTTTCTTCTATTTCTGATGATTTTTGGAAGAAAGCATTTGTTCTCCTGGCAAGAGTAGATTCACAGTTCTTTGTAATTATTCTTACTTTTCAAAATGAATTCCTCCCATTCTTTTACTGCAAATAGATTTTCAGTACAGAGCATGACACTGTCCCTCAGATGTTCTCCATGTCTGAAATAGCAGTGTGTTTTTGAATGTGAAGTAATAAAGTAAGTAATGAGATAGTTGCTTCAGCATTTAACTTGCATGCATTTGCAGTAACTTAGATGTCTGTGAGATAAGAGTAACATTTGGTTCTGAAAAAGTGTCCTGAATTGACCATGAGAGTTAATAGCTACACAGTCTCTTTTCCCACATTCTGTACTTTGGGCTTGATAATTTTGCCTTTGGCAGAGTGTTTACAATAATGCAGTCCTTTCCAGAGTGTGTTATGTGGATTCTGAAATTTCTGAGCTTGTACATACTTTTGGAAAAAAAAAAAATCTGTCTTTTGCTTTGCATACTTTCAGCATAAATAATGATAATTTAATAATGAAAATCTAGTAATAGACGTCCCATTGGTGACATTAAACTGGGTGCTCAACACTTGAAAAAGAAAAATAATACTTTCATTAAAATAGATAATATTCAAAAAAGTTGAACAGTCATGAACAAAAGTATTTATTCTAGTTAATATACCTTTTACTATCCAGCTTTTTCTTCAGCTTCATTGCAAGGATTGACTTTGCTGTCAGTTATAACTTTTATTATTTCCTCAGCTCCTCTACTAACTCTGTCTTTACTGTTCTTTTCCAACAACAGTAGTTTAACCACTTCTTCCTCAGCTTTCTTTTTTTCTTCTAGTGTCTGTTATTTTTTTTCCCCACTTACTAACTCTGCTCTGCAGACTTCTCTCTAAAACAATCTTTGGCCCTTTCCCTCAGTGTCAGTTTTAACCTTCTGAATACATCCTCTCACGCCCATCTCCTTTGTCTATGTCTGTACATTACACGGTGTGATCACAGAAGAAGCGGAATCATCAAGGAGAAGAAACTCAGGTCTGTCTCTTCTACTGCTTTTCTCTGTGTTATTTTTTTCATTTTACCTTTTCTATAGATTTTATCACAGCTCACCTCACATACTTTTCCCTCTCTTCCCCCTCAATAAATTGGCAAAATATTGGCAAGCTGTAAGAACTTAAGGTTAAGATGCTTATGTAATTTTTATCACCTATAAACTATGTACTCTATAAAAAGTGATAAAAGGTAACTGATGGCGCATATGCCATACCTTAAGACTTTAAACTGATTTGATTTCTATCATATCAGTTCTTATTCCTGTCTCAATTATCTATAAATTAGCCTTTAAGCTTCCAACTAGCACATGAAAATAATCTATAATTTGTTTTATCTTTACATTTGCATCTGCTACAAAAACTGCAGAAACTCTTATATAACTAGTTATTTTTGACCCTGGGGAGGATATAATTTCAAAACTGAATAATTTTAGTAAGTTAAATTCCAGACACTGAAATTTCAAACTTAGTTTGAAATTAGTTTCTTTGAATAAAAACTATTTCAGTTTTTATGTAAAACATAAGGTTATAACATGAGAGCAAGAAGACCCTAAATACATTGAAGGAGCTCTAATTTAGCTGTATGAGGATTTTATGTCATATTGTGCATTATTTATGATTTCTTCTTTCATATAAAATTTTCATCTGCCATTTTACTGAATTTTCTATGTACTTTATACTACTGGCAGAGAACTAATATCCAGCAAAGCATCCTAGCTCTTAAAATGTAATAGTTGTTCACGTTTCCCTGCTCATTCAGTTGGGGTATGTAGAACAACAATGAAATTCCCCCTTTAAGTTAATTAAGTTCATCTATAAATTTTAAATCTTACAGTTATCGTGCCAAAGCTTTAATTAATTTCTTGTGCCTCTGCTATTATCCCAGCAAATTAGAGAAGCCACTTAAATGCAATTTAGGTTCAAAAATCTGTGGAAGTGTTGGGGTACATTGACTGGTCCATTAAACTTAGATGACATTTAGTCAAACACTTTTGTCTTTTCCTGGTGTGGCTGGCTCCTTCAGAACTCACTTTTACCTTTCATACTAATCTTGTCCTAATCAGAGCCAGAGATTATCTTTACAGAATCTTGCAGATGTTATTTGCTGTGGTTTTCTTATTAAATAAATCTCAAGATAGAAATTGCTTAAATTACAGGGTAAAAAATGTTAAGTATGGATAGAAAAGACAAAGAGTAGTGTGTTCTGGATTTTCTCTTTTGTAAACCACTCCTATTAGGAATTAATAAATTATGCTGTAGAAAGACTGTGTTTACTTATCTTGTGCTTATGATCCTTTCTCAGTCCCTGTGCAGTGACTGCAAGTCTCTTTTATTACAAAAATGAAATCAGATGATTGGGTGACCCATTTCGTATCTGTTCATAATAAAAGAAAGGAAAGTTGTTGACCTTCTTATTCAAGAACCTGCCTCTGAGTTATTGATTGAATCAATATATTGAATCAAAACATGGAATCAGTCCATATCTTTCTTGGTGTTGGAAGAAATCAGACCTTATAATAGTATCTAGTGTATCAGAAAAAACCACATATTTTCACCACCTGTTTCTTGAACATGTGTGAGTAGGCAATACCTGTGTATGATTAACTTCTTTTGACATTGAAATTCAGATACTCTTCTGCAAAACACTATTTATTTCAGAGTGTTAAGTAAATGTATGAGGCACTGATGAATTTAATTGTCTAGCACACAAATACAAAAGCATGAGCAGCGCTGCAGTTGCAAAAGTTGTTATTACTGCCCTTAAACTCAGGAGAAAATTGTTTTGTGTATAGTAACATACTTTCAAATGTACATTTGAAATGGGCACTCCTACATGTTTTACCTCAGTAACAAAGTAGCTTACACAGCTACAAGGCACTTTGAGCACAGCTAAAAAGACAGGGTGACATTTCAAAGGCATACCTTTAGAACCAGGTGTTTTCCCATTGCTTTAGAATTTGCTTTAAGAAGTGTTGAACTAGAATTACCCATTTACAGGTTTCATTAGGAAATTCATCATGGCTGGGCTTCGCGAACGAAGATTTGGGAAGGGCTCTACCCACGTTTGTTGCAAGCACGTTGGTGGCTAAAAAGTCCAATACAAGATAGGCATGTCTGGTTGCAAAAGGCATTAGGAAATTAGTTTCACCTTATTTATCACGCTACCAAACATTCATGTGAATTAAAGGATTAGCTGTTGATTTAAGGTGTTATTACATCAAGTGATGTTGAGAAGGTTAAATATCTGAATATGTGACAATTGTATTGAAAAAAAAAATTGCCATTTTCTCTCTGTGGATATTATAATCTCTAATTGCAAAAATGAGAAAATTTTATTCCTTCAAAAATATCTAGGTTCTTACTGAAAAGTTATATGAAAGCACATGCAAAGCTTATGCTTCATATTTCAAGAACAAAAGCAAGTTCAGAAAGCTAGCAAGCAAAATATTTTATTATAAATTTTTTTATCTGACAGCAGTAGAGCTTGATATCATCCTTAAAGACAAAACCCTGTTTTTCTTGGGTAAAGGAGGAGCTTTGCAAAGCAGGTTTTTTTTAGATTTCTTTTTTAAATCATATGTTGGAAATTATTATGTTTCATAGGTTTAGATATTGTGATATTTACATATAGTGAAAAGTGCTGGGGAGATGTCTGCCTGTTCACCTTCCCATGTATTCAGTATGAGAAATGGAATTAAGGCCCTGCCTGAAGAAGACATCTTTATTCTCATCAGTAAGATGGTTCAGACCAACCAGTTATCATTGTGCCAAAAATTACTTGTAATTGCGAGTAATACTGTGTTCTTCAAACATAGAAAATACAGAAAACATTTTTAGCCTTGCAAAATTAATCTAGGCCTAGATATGAGTTGACTCAGACGTGAGTAAACTGCCCAAAATTTGATCACCAAAACTATGGAAAGGCTGATCCATGACAGTTTAAAGTAGTCAGTGTACATGCAGGAGAAATAGTGCTGGGTAATTAATTCTAGGTTTATCCCAGGATGAAAAGGGGTGACGTAGTGATGCCCAGTCGTTGCTTCTTTCTAAGGTACATAGGAGTTAGAAGATAAAGTAGTGGGGACAGTTGCACTTCTAAAGGGCCATGAAATTCAGGGAAATAGATATTAATGTTCTTTTCTGCAACATCTGGAGCCAAACTGTCATGTTAGGAGCACACAAAGAATTGATTAGAGTTTTTGTTAGCTTTCAGAAGGAAATTCAAATAGACGAGGACTTTGAAGTATGGGGGGTTTTCTGCGCTTTGTTATGAAGTTTTTTTGTAGTAACATGATTGCTGGAAATGAAGCCTACAAAACCTAACAAAACCTATCGAAGATGAGTGACCAAATTGGAAGAGCTCATAGACCTGGACAGGGTCAAACAGTGGAAAGGTCTGGTAAATAAACTGTTGGAGAAAGCAAAGACAAAAAAAAATAGGTACAGTTGAGAGGGTTTAAGAGATCAACTTCAATAGAAAACAAGGAACACAATTATATGAATGCATTCTTATCTTACAGTACCACAAGAGGCTTTTCAAGCCTTCCAAGAGTGGGTCTACTGTGATATCCTTCACAAACAGAATATGACACCCCTCTGCTTTTGAGTTATTGTTATAATCAGTACTCAGTGACACACTTTCCTTTAAAGAGCAGGATGGTGCTTTGTTCTGTTTTCATCTTCCTTATGTTGAAAAAACATTTCTGGGTGGAATTTGTAACATTTTAGCACAAATATGATTAAATTACTTGTGCATCTCTGAACATGTCTACGATATTTAGTTTGACAGGCACGTTTAAAATCTGATGCCTTAGACTCTGAAAGAGACATTTAAAGCATCTAAATCTGTATTTGGACAACAAAACCCAAAGGGTGAACTCCAAATTCAGTTTAAAGGTATTTAGCATGGTAATAGAGGTATCATACTGGATGGTGGGGAGCTTCTTTGTCCTTATTTTTAATTTTGTTTAAAATTAAAACCAGAAACCAAGGGCCTCCAAATGCAACCCTCAAAGTAGCCATCTGTACTAAACCAAATAAATAAAGTCTGATCTTCAGTCTTCTGAAGATAAAATAGTAAAAATATCAGATTATGTAATTTAAAATGACAGCATAATTGCGCAAAAGACAGAGTAGCACTACATATATAGTTTTTCATTGGTAAAATTTTGGTAGCTTAATTTGTCATTCTCCTGAGTCCTAAATGCAGGTGCACACACCACTGTTGGTTTCGTGTTTTTTGGGTAAAGCTTTGACCATCTCTCTAGTTACTAAAGTGCTGATGAAGATGTCTTAGGATGGCTGAGGGATCTCTATGAATACCTGTTTGCTTTTCTGAAAGCAGAGGCATAGTTATTATCAAGAGTTTATTCCTATGTTTTTAAGTGGCTGTATCACAATGTGAACTATTCTCTGGTTATGTGGAATATACCAGTGGTGGGAACTCTGAGGAGCTTCCATGCTTGGCAAACAGGATGTTGGAAAGCTTAACAATAAGACTCTGCTCAGGCTTTCCTGAAGACTGCAGCATTTATAGTGTGGCCAATCTGAATGGATTTTTATGAGTACAGGATGTGAGCCTGTACTCATAAGTGGCCTACTGACCACTCAGATATTTTTCTTTTACACTTTCAAAATCCTATCATTCATACATGAAGGATGCACCAGAATTCTGGGGGAAAGCAAAAGGAAGGGGTTTTTAGCTAATTTTTGACTTACTGCTTCTTCCTTCCTTTTACTGTGTGGGGCTCAGTATTTTACAAAGGCCACCAAAATGTATTTACACCTTTGTATGAGGCAACATGGAAAAACATCACAGGCTACCCTCCAAAAATCACTTTGGAAAAGGATCTACGCACCATAGAAAAGAGCTGCTCATAGTTAATCATTAGGTAAAAAACATGCAAAATAGAACTTCCTGGCTTTCTTCAAATGATCTTTGTCCTTTACCATTTGCACTGATCTATCCTTAGTGATGAAGAT